TTTTTTTTATAATAACTGAGGTATTTGATCCATTTGGATAGCAAAAATATATTCGATCTTGTATGATGGTGTGCTTCTAAAAATAATAATATAATTTTATTGATTTTGTCTATTATCCGTAATTATTTATATAACTATTTTTTAACATATATTGTTTTAGTAATTCAAATGGGAGATTCACAAGGAAATAATAAAGAAAAATGAAAAGAGAAAGAAAACTATGAAGCTTGGATTAAGGATGATTCCGATGAATTGTTACAATTGATAGTGGATGCTATAAAAAGAGGATAGAATATTATAGAGAATTATTATTATTATTTATCTAGACATTATTTTTTTTATTTATTATTTTTATCTTTGACTCTTTTTAAATTTGAATGTATAATTTTTTTAAAATCTTATCAAATGTCAAAATTCCACAAAATCTCACAGAATCCATTAAAATCCTAATTTAAAAGTCTTGCAGAATCCATTAAAATCCTGATTTTAAGTCTTGTAGAATCTTGCAAAATCTTAAAAGTCATGAAAATCCTGCAAAGTCTTTTAAAATCCGCAGAATTTTTTTTAACTAAAAAAGTCCTTTAAAATCCTAATCCAATACACCCCCCTTAATTGAGCATCCATACCAGTGAAAAAAGACTTTTAAATTAATTATTATTATTTTTATTTTTAAAATTGATTATTTGATCAATTTTAGAATAGTTGGATTCTGTAAGTCCAACTTTTAAAATTAGTTAGATTTTAAAAGTGGCAAAAAAAAATTATATAGAAAATATGGCTTCGCCACCCGCCGTCCCAGACCGACCGTTGTTGCCGACCGTCGCTTCCAGTTGTCGACTTCGACCGTCACTTCCGGTCGCCGACTTCGACCGTCGCTTCCGGTTGCCGACTTCGACCACCGCTTTTGATAGCTGCCTCTAGTCGTCGCCTCTGACCGCCGCTTCTGATCGACCACTCCGACCGTCGCTTTTGATTGCTGCCTCCGATCGCCGCCTCCAACCACCGCTTCTAGTCGCCGACTCCGACCGTCGCTTCAGGTGGTCGCCGACTCTAATCGCCGCCTCCGACTTTCGCTTTTGGTCGCCGACTCCGTCCATCGCTTTCAATAGTCACCTCCGGTCGCCGCCGCTTTCGGTCGCCCACTCTGACCGCCGCTTTCGATGGCCGCCTCTAGTTGCCGCCTCCGACTGCGCTTTCGGTTGCCACCTCCGGTAACCAGTTAGCAGATGTGTTCACAAAATCATTTAAAGGGCCTCGGGTTGATTACATTTGTAACAAGCTTGGTGCATATGATATATATGCTCCAGCTTGAGGGAGAGTGTTATAAATATTGTGAATATATTACAGATATTGTGGATACATATATTATGGTTATTATCCTTACTATCAATTAAGGATATGATTAGATTAGTTTCCATAATATTAGAGATTAGTATCTCTATTATTTATTGTATTCACTCTATAAATAAGATTGGTATCTGTACAACAATACACACAATTCTTGAATCGCAACAGTTCTAAAGTTTATGTTACATGGACTCTCCCAACTAAGGTAACTAACTTTAGCATAGTAGCAGGGCCGGTCAAAAGATTAGTGAAACCTCAAAAAAATTTGAAGATAAATTTTTTTCTTTAAATGAGAAAGGTAAATGTTGAATCATTTTGCAAACATATCAAGAAAATTTTAACAAATATATAAGTCATTTTTATAATATAAGCCATTAGAGTGCATAACCTACTCTCTGATTGAAACATGTATTACTTATAATATATGCCTATATTGTGTGAACTAATCACTAATGTATTTTATGCTAAGAAATAGAAATAAATGTCATCCAAACCTCAATTACACGGTGAACGATTGGAATATCTTTTCCCTGTACAATGGATAGTCATTTATCAGAAAAATGGATAGAAGCAAGCACATTAAACATATATAAATATGTTAGTTTATGAATTATCAAATAGTAAAAACTTCTTTGATTGGTAGAAAGAATGGGGAGGCAAATTTATATTGATAGGCTTAGTTGAAAGGAAAACTAGTTTAGAGGAATAGTTGGAATAGATTTGAGTAGTGGAAATGACTTACTAGTTACTTGGAATACAAATGTTGGGTACATGGCCTATTTATAGGCCTCAACACAACCATTCATGTTTTATGTAGAAGATTCTAGATATATGATAAGTCAATATTTTCCCCTATTTTCTTACCTTTCTGTACTTATTTTAATCTTTGATTTGTGCCTAATTGCTTATATTCTACATTGTTTTCTATTTGGGCTGTAATTGGACTGGTAATTCATATTTTAGCTAATTTGAATTTTCTGAATCTAATTATTCCAAATTTTATTTTCAGGGCAGTTTAATAATTATTTGAGCTTGGAATTAATTTAGGACTTCAAGTGGAGCTACCACGTCATTTTCCACCTCAGCACCATTTTCCACCTCAACATTTATTTTCATTTTATATTTTATTTTATTGTAGTTTATTGGGTCAGACTTGTATTTTTATTTGGGCCTAATTTCGTTTTTTAGGTCATAGGTCTAGGGTAGGGCTGACTTGGCAACCACTAAATGAAGGGGCTGAGGTGACTACGTGAACAGTAGCCTCCATTTGTGTTTGGTTTTACGTTTTGTTTTCTGGAGCTGTTTCTTCACGTTTTGGCTTCCTTCTTTGTTAATTTACGTTTTGCTCAGCTGCCATTTTTCGTTTTGCTTTTGTCGTCTCTAGTTGTGGAACTTGAATATTTACATTTGAAGAATACATTGCATTTTCGTTTCTCTTCTCTGCCTTGTAATTTTGTAATTTTGTTTTCCTTCTTCTCCTTGCATTTTCGTTTCTGTGCTGCGTTTTGATTTAATGGAAGGCTAAAAACCACTGGGTTGGCTTCTTGTTATGGATTGTAATCTCTGTTTGAGGTTGGGTATATGTGTTCATCTCTGTTCTGCTTGTTCTTCTCCAGTCAACCTCTGTATAAATGCCACAGTTGCTTAATCTGTGAAGAGGAGGTTGATGTTGTATACGTTTGCTTAATTCGTGTATGGAAATCTTGAGTTAATCTTCGCTTAGTTGGTTAACTCGGATGGAACAAGGATTAAGTGGTTAATAGAGTAATCTTTTGAGAAACCAGGGATAAGAGAGTTATAATCCGAACAAGGAGCCAATCCATTTTACTTACTGTGTTATCTGCATTTATTGTGTTACAAACTGAATTTCTGAACCAAACCCCCCATTTTGTGTGTTTAAGCCTTTAACAGTAAAAGACGGTCCTTGGGAGACGACCTAGGAGTCACTTCCTAGTACTACATTTACTTGTATTTATTTGACCGGATACGACTTCGATCAATATATCTATTCTAGAGTTTTCTATCTATATATAATTGTCTACATAATTCTAGAATTTTTATGTAATAGTTACTAGCATATACTTATGTATTTTTCTAGAATAATCTAGCTTATTCTAGAAGTTTGTATCACATTTTAACATTCTCCTTGATACAAATTTCTTTAACTCCTATCATAGTGCGAAACTCCACAAGATCTATTAGAGCTCTAATTGTATTTAGGCGTGCTATTAGGGCAAATGTCTCATTGTAGTCGACTCTAGGTTGTTGTGAATAGCCCTTAGCTATCAACCTTGCCTCGTGCTTTTGTATGGTGCCATCCGGATTGAGCTTTGTCTTATAAATCCATTTTACCCCGATGATATCTTTGTCTTTTAGATAGTCTACTAGATCCCATGTGTTATTTTTCTCAATCATTTTTATCTCTTCTTCCATAGCCTTGACCCATACTTTTTGCTTTGATGTTGCTTCAAAGCTTTCAGGTTCAAGTATGGCCAAGTTGCAGGTTTCATATATATCCACCAAGGATCCAACTCGTCTTGGAGTAGACTCTGGTGATGGAGTTTGTTGTTGTGGAGGAGAATGAAGCTCACCTGGGACTTCTGTAGTTTCTTCTTCTAGTTGCTGAATTGATATAGGAATGTTTTTCTCTACTTTCTCATCATTTCAATTCCAAGTCGCATTTTCATCAACTTCAACATCTCGGCTAATAATTAGCTTCTTGGTTTGCAAGTTGTAGACTCGGTAGCCTTTTGACTGTGTGCTATATCCAAGGAAGATACCTCGTACTGTTGTCTTCTAGCTTGTGTCTTTTCTCTTCTGGAACGTGTATGTAGCAAATAGATCCAAATACCCTTAGGTTCTTTGTTGATGGTTTTATTCCGCTCCGAGCTTCAATCGAAGTCTTATCTTGGACTACCTTAGTTAGGCATCTATTAAGTATGTAGACAGCAGTATAAATTGCTTCAGTCCAAAACGTGTTTGGTAATCCTTTCTCCTTGAGCATTAATATGGCTATCTCCATTACTGTGCAGTTTTTCCTTTCAGATACTCCATTTTTTTGTGGAGAATATGCAATTGTAAGTTGTCACTCAATGCCTTCATCTTCGCATAATTTATCAAACTCATGGGAAGTGTATTCTTTGCCGTGATCACTTCTAAGTACTTTTATTTGTTTGCCACTTTGCTTTTCGACAAGGCTCTTAAACTTCTTGAAAATACCAAATACTTTTGATTTTGCTTTTATGAAGTAGACCCAAGTCATTCTAGAAAAATCATCTATGAAGAGAATGAAATACCTGTTGTTATGGAGTGACGACGTCCGCATTGGTCCACATATATCTGTATGGATTAGCTCCAACAAGTCCTTTACTCTCCATGCTTTTCCTGTTGAAAACGGCAATCGGTGCTACTTGCCAAGGAGACATCCTTCACAAGCTTCACTATTCTCCTTTAGGCATGGGAGATCTCCCATCATATATTTTTTTATATGATAACTTTAAGGCATGTGTATTAAAGTGGCCAAATCTTCGATGTCAAAATCATGAGTCATCTACTTCTGATTTCATGGCAATGTTAGGGCCTTATCTCGGGCTTATGGGAAACTTCTATTCCTCTTCTCCATTTTTACTCGGCCAATCTCTAGCTTTTTATCGTCATATATTTTACATGTGTCTCCTTCAAAATGGAGAGTATAACCTTTCTCCATCATTTGGCCAATGCTCAAGAGATTTTCTTTCAAATTGGGAACTAGTAGAACATCAATAATAAGCCTCGTACCTTTCTTTGTCTCCACCATAATTGTGCCTTTGCCTTTTGATTCAACGACAGTGTCGTTCCCCATTCGGACTTTCACTTTGACGGATTCATCAATATCCTTGAAGATGCTTGCATCTTTGGCCATATGATTGCTGCAGCCGCTATCCAAGTACCAACTTTCACTTGTTTCACTATTGAAATCTTGGCTAGCATAGAAAAGATGTCGCTCACCATCTTTCTCTTCATTAAAGTTTGATTGATGCTTATTTTTGTTGCGACAATACTTCTCCACATGTCCAACTTTATTGCAGTGGCGACATTGTGGCTTTCCACAATATCGACCGTCTTTCTCGGCATGATTTGTCCTCTTGCAAATGCTACATGGAGGATATTCATTCTGATAATTTCTAGAGAGATTTCTAGAATTCTCTTTATTTCTAGAAGTTTCTCCATTATTCCTTTTATCTTTATTTTGAGACCGTAATTTGAGCTTTGATTGAAAGGCATTTTCAGTTGAGTCCTCATCATGCCTATTCAGCTTTTGCTCATAAGCTTCAAGTGACCCCATCAACTCTGTTTCTGATAAGGTAGATAGATCTTTTGTTTGTTCAATCGTTGTCACAATTGGATCATACTTACAGGGAACACTAATTAGAATTTTCTCCACAATTTTCTTATCAAGAATATTTTCCCCATATGCTCTCATTTGGTTAATTATTTCTTTTATCTTAGAATAGTAGTCCTTTACAGTCTCAGATTCCTCCATATTTAACAATTCAAAGTTATGTCGTAGAGTTTGTAATTTTACGGCACGTATCTTTTCACTTCCTTCGAACTCCTCCTGCAACGTATTCCATGCTTCTTTGGATGTTGTTGCACCCATTATTCTTGGAAAAATTGTGTCGGTCACAACTTGTTGCAAAATAAATAAGGCCTTTGAATTCTTTTGTTTGTTCTCTTTCAACTCCATTTTTTGAGTCGCAGTAAGGGATGAGGTGTCTTCTGGAGTAGAAAATCTTTCTTCTATCGTGTCCCATAAATCTTGGAAAGTGAAATATGTCTTCATTTTTGTACTCCAAAAATCATAATTTTCACCATTAAAAATGGGAATAGGGATAGATGAGGGTTGAATGGTGTTGGCCATGGATTAGAATTTTGTTTTGAAAATGGGTAGAATATTGGAAAAAAAATTTGGAAGTAGTGGGGTAATATTTCTACGCCCAGTAGATGATTGAACGTAGTTCTGGTACCACTGTTAGTTTATGAATTATCAGATAGTAAAAACTTCTTTGATTGGTATAGGAAGAATGGGAAGGCAAATTTATATTAATAGGCTTAGTTGAAAGGAAAACTAGTTTAGAGGAATAGTTGGAATAGATTTGAATAGTGAAAATGACTTACTAGTTGCTTAGGATACAAGTGTTGGGTACATGGCCTATTTATAGGCCTCAATACAACCATTCATGTTTTATGTAGAAGATTCTAGATATATCTATTCTAGAGTTTTCTATCTATATATAATTGTCTACATAATTCTAGAATTTATATGTAATAGTTACTAGCATATACTTATATATTTTTTTACAATAATCTAGTTTATTCTAGAAGTTTGTATCACATTTTAACAAAATATGTCAAGACAAGCAATATATTGCAAAAACATATGTGATGGCTTTTTCCCGACACAGTCTTTCCTGGTTATATATACTAAGCACATATTTAAGTGTCAAAAGTGAAAACCAAAACCTAAGAACAAGGCAGGACAGAAGAAATAAGGATCCTAATCCAATACTGCAATACATGGTTGTCACTGAGACTTGTTCAAGGCTCAAAGAGAAAAGAAGCTATACCTGCAGTACTAATTGTAAAGGAAAAGACAGATATTTAAAAATAAAAATAAAAAATCGTTTTCCAAAAGAGATGAAATTAGATAACAACACAGTTTCATGAAATCTTTGTACATGTAGCTTCAAATTAAATTATCATATTTTAAAGGAAACATTAATCTCATACGCCCAGAATGAGTGGATAAGGGTAACATTGGGGAAAAAAAAAACTTTCCACAAAATTGCGCTCTACAAAGGTTAATATTGTTATGCCTGTTTTTTTTTATCTCTTTTTCTCACAAGTGTTAAATAGGTTGTTGAGTGTTCAGAAATCATTTTTGTTAAAGAAAATGATGCTATTTTACTTTCACAGCGTATGCTTTTAGTCCTAGCAAATGACTAAAATCTAAAATATAATTAAGGAGTATAAATAAATAAACTTTTCATACAAATTAAAACAGAAAATGGTGACATTTTCAAAGATGAATTTACTTGTACTGACACAAAAACATGATGATTATTGAGAAGAAATTCATAGAATGGCTGCATTTAAAAAAAATCACACAATTCGTCATAACTCATACGTTGTGTGGTACATGATACTTATATAGGTACACGATCTTACAAAGTATTGGTATGTTAGAGTATATATAATTGGCACCTTTTGGTACGTTATTTAATAAATTTTAATATAAAATTATAAATTATAAAAAGTAAAATATAAAATTTCATAAATGCAAAAATAACTTCTAATATTAAACAATATAAAAAAAAATTTATAACAATTCCGCACCATGTTATTTTAGAGTGTATTCTTTGAAATGTTTAGGCCTTTCTTGAGCTGCCCCTGAATGGACTCTAACATTAATTCTTGGGCTAACACAAAACTTGTTTGCAAGGTGTGGTTTGGTGTGTTTTGTTGGGACAGTGGATATTGGGAGAAGATTGATGAACCGTAATATCTAAGGGTAGAGATTAAATTGAGTTTTGGAAGATGAATTAGTGGAATCATAATTAATGGTTTGTTGAGACAAGGGCCTTAAGGGCACCTAACCTAAGTGGTAGGTGGACATTGGCCTTGTAGATGTAACAAAATGGAAATGGAATACTATCATTACTCCTAGAATCTACTATTAAAAGGCTAATAGCTAGAAAGTTATAAAGAAGATAAAATTAACATTTATATTTTTTATTAATATCTCTCAAAGTTAAAGGGATACAAATTTACAACTTAAGAATATGAAAAAATATCTTATAAGTACCATCATCCTATTATTTTAAAAGAATAAAATAAATATTAAGTTAATCTTTTAACCACTTTATTTTTTTATCTTTTGACCTTTCTGTAGACCCATCCTATCAATCAAGTTCCTCTTTTCATCTTCTTTGCAAATTAATACACGAATTCAGGCGATTTAAAATCTATATCTCATAACCAACACAGAACAAAATTATAATAGGGGATGGTACATACATCTATATTGAAAACCACAATCTCTCCTGCACGAATGGGATCCTTGCTCATGTGCAAAAACAGAATGTCACCCTGTAAAAATACCCACGAGCTTTTCTCACACAAACCATATAATAATCATAATTTCAAAACTAAGGACAAAAAAAAAATGAAAATATAATCATTTAATAAATTAAAAAGGAGCATCGCTGACTCGTCTGAAACCAGGTTCCATGCTTCCGGAGATAACAACGACCACGGGTGATTCACTTCCGGTAACACACATTAACCCTTTCCACATTATCAGTGCCGATGATAAAACCATGCCTGAAACACGTTGCAATAGAAAAATGAGATTAGAAATTTAATTAATTAGTATACATAAATTTTGCTGTATTTGTTAGAGAAAAAAAAAAGTAGAAAATAAACAGACTTAAAAATCTAAGAAGATTGATTGTATTGCTCTTCACACTCTTCAGATGCATGAATTATACTCTAATTATAGTAGAATAAGTAGAATAACTCTTAGCCATTACATTACCTTTTGCTAAAACACTAAATTGATATAACCCTCAATTACTTGATTGTTAATTACAAAATAATTAACAACTATTTATTTTCTAACAGTATTGGTGAAAATCCCTTGAAAATTAAAAATAAGTTTTGGTGAAAACAATGAAACATGTTACCGAGAGTGACGAACTGGGTGAGTGTTTGTCTGAGTTGAATTGATTTGACAGTGTCTGAGACCCAATCCATTGTGTTGTGTTGTGTTGTGTCTATGCCCTCCAATAGGGTTTTCTTTTTCTTCTTTTTTCGTATTTCTCTTGCAATTGAAACTGAACGAGGGATGCTACTATATATACCTCTCCCTCTTGCACCTTAATTTCACAATGTGTGATGTAATAAGCGTATGCTTTTGTCAGCTTTGACCATTATTTTTAAGCTTTTAAATGCAGAAAGCCATAAACCGTATACTTTTCTAATGTCAAACATATATACGTGGTTCCCGCAATATCCATGCGACACGTGTCATTTGTCTAGTTTTAGTGGGACCAAAAAATTGCATAAAAGTAATATTTAATGAAATTACTAATATTTAATAAATTAGCATCCTTTTATATATAAATTAATGAAATTAATAATATAAAATTATTAATGTATATGTCTATATATATATATATATATTAATATCTTTTGATTTATGTAGAAATTAGTGAAATTAATTATAAAAAAAAACTATTTATTGGAGTAATTAAATTATTATTTTAAAATTGAACATTCAAACAAAGTTGTCTTTCAGTTTTATTTGAGATTTTTATAATGATATAACACTAAATTGAATATATATATTAATCCTACTTTAACTCAATTGTACTATTCGTAAGTCATTCGTTTCAATTTTTCGTTATGCCAATTTTTACATTGAGTTTTCGCAGCATCATTTTATTATATTTTTTAATCCAACATTCCCATTTATATTTTCATTTTTTTCCACCACCCCTATAAATTTTTAATATAAAAAAGTTTTAAATATGAATTTAAGTCTCTACAAAATTAATAAGTTTTTATTTTAGTATTTATAACCTTTTAAAAAAATTTATGCTGATAAATTTAAAGTTATTATTTTTAGTTGATATTTTTTATATGAATTTTCATTATTTTTTTACTTAAAAGTTAAGTAATCCTTCTAAGTGTTATTTAATGTCGTATTTGTTGCGTAAAAAGAGTTTTAAAATAGATATTATTATCTACCTTAAAATGATCATTAAAGATTACAAAATAGTGATTTTAAATTTTAAAAATATGAAAATGAAAGAAAAATATTTTATAAAGTTCAAAATTAAAATTTCTAATTTTCAAAAGGACTAAAAATAATATTTATAAATTTTAAAAGGAAGAAAAACATTTTTTATGATGTCTAAAATCAAAATTCACTCAAATTAAAACATATTTAAACTATAAAAAAATGAATAAATCATTATAAATAAAAAATATTAATGTTAATTAATAATTAAATAATATTAAATACTAAAAATATGTGTTTTACCTACAAATTTATTTGTAGATATTTTTTACAGCAATTTTCAATGAATTTAGTTGTCATTATATTTTTTATATGTTTATTTTTTTTGCGAGATAAAATTTGTAGATTTTTTTTTAATGTGTGTGTGTATTCTAGCCTAGAGGAAGTTTAGGGTTTTTGATAGTCGAGCTACTAAAGTCATAGCATTTGGGAGTGTAATTTGTCCCTCCCTGTCCTAGGGTTAGGGTTTTTATACTTGATCATAATGAGCTCATAGATCCTAAGATTCTTGGGATTTGATAAAGTAGTCATTTGTTTATGAGATTTTTGGGTCATGAAGATAAGATTTTGTTCCATATAAAAATCCTATTTGAATTTTTTGACTACGATTAGAGGTCAGATTTCTTGACATATAAAAGTCAAGCCTATTTACATAATTGGTCATCATGTGTCAGTTTTTTCCTACTTGCCTTAGCGTCCAGGGAAATCGACAATGCCTATCAACTATCATCCTCTCGGCATGACCATCTTAGATATAGCTCGAGATAGTACTCTTGCCCACCAACCCCAAGCCCATATGGCGAAAGGGCTAGAGGAGAATACCATACTTCAACGCTTAAAACATATAAATGTTAATGTTTAACTTGGCAATCCCTTTTTGACAGTCATCCTCTCGGCATAACCATCCACTACAAGAAAAACTGTTATTATCTACGGAATATTACCTACAAATTTTTTTTCGTAGATAATATTTAGTTATCTACGAAATTTTTTTCGTAGATCACTTTTAGTTATCTACAGAATATTACTTACAAAATTTTCCATAGATAACCCACAAAAATTGTTATCTAAGGAATTTTTCGTAGGTAACGTTACCTAAAAAATTTTTCGTAGATAACGCTCGAATAATAATAATAATAATAAGTTTCGTGGGTTACTTACGGAATTTTCCGTAGATAACCCACGAAAGGTGTTATTTACGAAATTTTTCATAGGTAATGTTACCTACGGAATTTTTCATAGATAACTCACGAAAGTTGTTATCTATGAAATTTTTCTTAGAAAACGTTACTTACAAAATTTTTCGTAGATAACCCACGAATAATAATAATAATAATAATAATAATAATAATAATAATAATAATAATAAGTTTCGTACATAACTCACGAAAGTTGTTATCTACGGAATTTTCCGTAGATAACATTACCTACAGAACTTTTCTTAGATAATCCACAAATAATAATAATAATAATAATAATAATAATAATAATAATAATAA